GGATCTTCCCTGACTCCCTTTCAGTTCTTCCTTCTGAAATGATGGAGCCTGGTACACGATACAAGAGCGTAACAATGAACAAGTCAGTAATTCACACACACCTTCATTACCTGTGGTGTGTCCCATGCGTTCCGGATTTGTAAAGCAGCGGGGCTTTCTAACATGCTAAGCAAGGCAGAGGTAGAAGGGAAGGTGTCAACTTTGCTTCCTTTTACTTTTAAAGCTAGATATGACTTCATTTCGCTTATGACTAGAAGTTGACTAGTGTGCACTTCATAAAAACATTCTGTTGCCAGAGAGAGGGGCACATGGAATCAAGAGTGTAAAAAGTCAGGGATGGAGACACACCCCTGCAATGCTAGCACTCGGGAGGCTTCCCCAGGGAGTGTGGATTGAGGCCAGTCTGAGCTACAAGTTAAATAAATAAATAAATGTGGGGAATGTGTCCTTGGAGCAGCTTCTGATGTCCTGTCTGTCTAGTCTTTTATGAGCCAGTCTTGCACGTCAAGAGCCTGCTAGATTGGTAGGGTATCCCCAGAGCCTGGGATCTTTTGACTGAAGGCTAAATGTACTGGAAAGATAATTCTCTTCTCCCGCTGGTGCAGGTGTTCCTGGGGGTAGGTTCCTCCTTTTGCCAGAAGTGACCCAAGCCTGGATGAGGAAGAGGATGTAGCTTGATCTGGCTTGTTCTCTTTCTTTGGACACTTCCCTTTGGAAAGGCCAGGCCACGAGGAGGAACCATGTTGCCGCGCCAGCATGAGCCTCCTGAGGAGCCAAGCTCCCAGCCTCTGAATCTTCCAGCCATGGCCCAGACATAGAAAGCAGAGAGATCTTCCTCCCTGTCTCACTCTCTAAAATTCTTTTAAAATTAGTAGTTTGCCTTTACAGCCATTTCAGGCTTACAGTAAAACTGGGTGGATCTTAAACAGGTTCTGTGTGTATATCTCATCTGCACACATTCACAGCCTACCCCACGATTGACATATACCTGAGAGTCCGCATCTGACACATTGTCACTCAAAGCCCATAGGTTGCATTTGAGTTAGCTCTTAGGATTGTACATTCTATGGATTTGGAGAGCTGTGTAGTGATGTATTATATCATGACGGGAGGTGTCCACTCTAGCAACTGGCATAGTTTACCACCTGTCCATCTGCTTCCCTCACCCCTGGCAGCCACTGATCTCTTACTGTCTCCCTAGTTTTTTCACTTTGAGAAATGGAATCATTTAATAAGTGTGCACTTTTTTTCCCATCCCCCCGTCTTTTCATGACTTGATGACTTGTTTCCTCTTAAGACTTTCTCAGTTCTTGAACTGTAAACATCATAAAAATGACCGCTATAATTTTAAGCCACTAAGTTTTGAGGAGATTTAGTTTTCAGCCATAGAGACATAAGAGAGGGGCTGTGAGTAGAGACACAGGTTCAGAAGTTGGACTTGGGGCCTGAATGCAAAGGGCAGCAAGGAACCCTTTCCCTGCTGTCAGTTACTTAGATTCCATTGCACCGATCATCTCCAGTACTTACTGCAGCATAATGAATCACCCCGAGTTAGGGGCTTAACACAATAGGATTGTTTAATAACTGCAGTTATGTGGCTTTTGCTTTTGGTCTGTCACATGGCTGCAGTGAGATGGGGCTGGAATCATCTGGACTCATCTATCTGGAAGGCTTCCTCCCATGTTTGGTGGTTGTTTCTGACTGACAACTGGAGTAGCTTCTGATGTCCTGTCCATCTGTAGTCTTTTATGAGTCATGAGTCGTTTTACGATCAGGAGGCAGGATCATGGGCCTTCACCTCTGGTGGGTAGTATGTCACTGTCATTTTGGAAGAAGTGAGCATATCACAGTCATTGCTGTTTTGGTTTGAACTTGACCCATGGCACTGTAATGCCCATGGTGGACATAAGGCTATAGAGTGAAGGTGAGAGACAGGGAAGGTGACAGCTTCTGTGGAGTCTGAGGGAGACCTGGCTCTGCCTGGGATGTTCCAGAAGGAGTTGCCTGAACTGGGCTTTAAAGAATGCAAGTAGCGTATAGGTCATTTCAGGATGAGGGCGCCCACTGGAGTAAAGACCTGAGTGTATATGTATGTGTACTTATGTGGGGAGTACATAGCCCACTGAAGTCTGAGAATCGTACAGAGCCTGTGTAGGTTGTAATGGAAGATGAGGTCGAAAGAGTGTGAGGAAATTTGTTGTGAAGGCCCTTGTGTGTCATAATAAGAAGCCTGAGGTCCCCCACCCCCCATTCCCTGTGGGCAAAGCCTCTGATGGCTTTTAAGGGAGATTAATGTTGTGACCAAGAAACTTTTACTATAATTGGGAAGGTTGCTTAGATAGAGGCCAGCTGGGAAACTACATCGAGGCTTCACCTTTAAGTCTGTTTCATAATAAGAGTCCAGGTTCAAGGGTTAGAGGGGTTCAGGTGGGAATCTGGCGGTGAATGAGAAAGTCTGTTTTCATAATTCTGAAATTACTGAGACTAGCTGTATTTCAGAATTTAGAACTTTTTGTATGAAAAAAATGATCTGGTGTGTTTACTATGTTTTACAAGATCTGAAGCAGTGCACTGTAATCCGTCATGTTTATTTCTGTAGCAAAATGGATGCACAAGTGAAATAAAGACTGTAAATAGCCTCACATTAAATTAGATCAGATTTTGCCACATGAGTATAAAAAGACTTTTCCAGTGGTTTGGATCTGGGAATTGGGGTGGGGTGGGGGTGGTGGCCACATGGAAGCCAGTGTTTGGGTCACAGGCACTTGTGAACATTGAGGGACTTAGCACAGCAGCCTGGCCTCTGTGCTGGCATCTTTGTGACCTTTGGCTGGAGGGTTTGCAGTGGTTGCACTGCACTTTGAAGGGGAGGGGATTTGCGTGTCTGCAGGCATCCAGGAGGATGTCCCAGCAGCTGTGAGTCAGGACTGTCTGGTAAAAACTGGGGGAAGCAGATTGGGCTCCGAGGTACACACCCTCAGCCTGAGGACCACACATCAGCTAATGGAATTGTCTCCCTTCTTCTCCCATCCCCTTTCTAAAGCTTTCAACTACTCAATTACTTAAGAGGCAGGAAATTGGGGATTGGTAATTCTGACTATTAGAGAAGAAGGTCCAACATTGAACATCTCCAGGAAACTGGGCTGTGCATGACAAAATAGGTACTTTCATAATTCAGTGGAAATGGACTTGACATTTCCCAGAAGACTGATGTTGTAGAATTATAGGGTGCCTGGTTTCTAGGAGGATGACAGGTGGTGACCCACGTGGAAGTGGAAGGAGACTTTATAGTTTGTGTATGTGTACACACACAGTTAGATTTCTGATCCATTTGGAAGTTATCCTTGTCTATGAATCTAAATTTGCTTTTCCACATGGCTATGTAACTCTTATAACCCTATTAATGAAACTGTTTTCCCCCAGTAACTTTTAAGTATCATCTTAATCATAGTCTAGATTTCTATGTGTTATGGGCTTATTTGTGGAGTTTAAGTCCTGTCTGGTGGCCTGTTAATGTACCAGTACAGTTTTAATGACAGGGGCCTGTACTATGTAGCATTTTAGGATCTAATAGAACAATTCCCTTTCACAACTCATTTTATTTTCCTACATACTGCTTGTGTGCACTTTCTCCTGTGAACTTCAGTGTCATCAATTTGTCTAGGTTCATACAAAAGAATTTTACTGGAGCTTTTGATGCTGTTATGTCCTATCAAGGAGAAGGGATGATCTCAAGTATTTTTAATCTTACAGAAATTAGGTTTTGTTCATGTAGGTCTTGAGTGTTTCTTGTTAAAAAAATTTTTTTTTTATTATACTACAGCTTTTGTTAACAGGGGTTCCTTATCTCTCTTCTGATGAATTGCTATTTGTGGATAAAGACTATTGACTTGAGTGTTAATCTTTCCATTTGGTTTCGTTTTGTTATTGTTTTACTTTGCACCATCAGCAAATAGTTTTACTTCTTTTGACTTCCATTTTTAATTGTTTTCTGTGATCCAATTGCATTGGCTGATCAGTGGCTGTTTAGATCTTGGGCAGCATGGCTTTTAACCATTATTCTTATATTATTGTGTGTGTGTATGCCAGTCATGGGGCTTGAACTCAGGGACTGGGTGCTGTCCCTAAGCTAGTGCTGTACTACTTAAAGCCACAGCTCCACTTCTGGCTGTTGATGGTTAATTGGAGATCAGTCTCACAGACTTTCCTGCCTGGACTGGCTCCTAACTTGGCTCCTCAGAACTCAGATCTCAGCCTCCTGAGTAGCTAGGATTACAGGTATGAGCCACCAGCACTAGGCTATAGATATTGATACAAATTAATTGTACAAACGTTCACTGTGACTTGCTGTCTGCCCTCCTACTCTACTCCCTCATGTCCCCCCCCACCTCCCCCCATCAGCCCTTTCCCTAAGAGTCCCTCCTACACTTTTTAGTGGTTTTTTTGTTTGTTTCCTCAAACAAGAGAAAACATATAATACTTGCCTTTCTGTTTCTGGCTTATTTTGCTTTACACGAAGCCCTCCAGTTTCTTTCCATTTTCCTACAAATTACACGATTGCATTCTTCTGGCTCAATAATACTCCCTTGTGTGTGTGTGTGCCACGTTTCCTTTGTCCATTCATCCGTGGACAGGCATCTGTTCTCCAGCGGGGCCCCTGTGGATGGCGACACCATGGCGTGTTGGTGTCTCCCGCCATGGGCGGGAAAGCCTCTGGTGCTGCCCTCCCGGTGGGAAAGGGGATTTGGTTTTTAAAGTCAGTCGTGGTGAGCACCGTGAGATTGGAGGCCGGGGGGGGGGGGGGGGGGGGGGGGGCGGCGGGAGGCGGGGTCTGGGCCTGGCTTTGCCTCCCGGAGTGTTCACTGCTGCTTTGGGGGCTCCCGCCGGGTTGGGCGCCGCCCACGGTGTGGGGAGCGCTTTCCCGAGGGTGTCTGCAGCCGCCCCATCCGGTGTCGCCAGGGCCTTGCGGTGACGGTTGCGTTTCTCTTCTCTCCCTCCAGGTGCGGGTGGCCTCCTCCTCCTCCTCCCCGTGCTGGGGTGACCGCCCCCCACCGCCACCCCCGGGCAGCCCGCGGCCTCCCCCGCGGGGGCAGGATGCTGAAGAAGCAGACGGCAGGGCTCGTGCTGTGGGGCGCCGCGCTCTTCGTGGCCTGGAACGCGCTGCTGCTGCTCTTCTTCTGGACGCGCCCGGCGCCCGGCCGCCCGCCCGCCGACGCCGCGGCCGCCGACGCCGCCCTGGACGATGACCCCGCCAGCCTCACGCGCGAGGTGATGCGCCTGGCGCAGGACGCGGAGGCGGAGCTGGAGCGGCAGCGGGGGCTGCTGCAGCAGATCCGGGAGCACTATGCGGCGTGGAACCGGCGCTGGAGCGCGCCCACGGGGGCCCCGGCCGCCCCGCCGCGCGCCCCCGCCGCCGCCGCCACGCCGCCGCCCGCCGCCGTCATCCCCATCCTGGTGATCGCCTGCGACCGCAGCACCGTCCGCCGCTGCCTGGACAAGCTGCTGCACTACCGGCCCTCGGCCGAGCGCTTCCCCATCATCGTGAGCCAGGACTGCGGCCACGAGGAGACGGCGCAGGTGATCGCCTCGTACGGCGGCGCCGTCACGCACCTCCGGCAGCCGGACCTGAGCCACATCGCCGTGCAGCCCGACCACCGCAAGTTCCAGGGCTACTACAAGATCGCCCGGCACTACCGCTGGGCGCTCGGCCAGGTCTTCCACACCTTCCGGTTCGCGGCGGCCGTGGTGGTGGAGGACGACCTGGAGGTGGCCCCGGACTTCTTCGAGTACTTCCAGGCCACCTACCCGCTGCTGCGGGCCGACCCGTCGCTGTGGTGCGTGTCGGCGTGGAACGACAACGGCAAGGAGCAGATGGTGGACGCCAGCCGGCCCGAGCTGCTCCACCGCACCGACTTCTTCCCGGGCCTGGGCTGGCTGCTGCTGGCCGAGCTGTGGGCCGAGCTGGAGCCCAAGTGGCCCAAGGCCTTCTGGGACGACTGGATGCGGCGGCCCGAGCAGCGGAAGGGGCGCGCCTGCGTGCGCCCCGAGATCTCCCGGACCATGACGTTCGGCCGCAAGGGCGTGAGCCACGGGCAGTTCTTCGACCAGCACCTCAAGTTCATCAAGCTCAACCAGCAGTTCGTGCCCTTCACCCGGCTGGACCTGTCCTACCTGCAGCGCGAGGCCTACGACCGCGCCTTCGTGGCGCGCGTGTACGCGGCGCCGCAGCTGCCCGTGGAGAAGGTGCGGACCAACGAGCGGCCCGAGCTGGCGGCCGTGCGCGTGCAGTACACCAGCCGCGACAGCTTCAAGGCCTTCGCCAAGGCGCTGGGCGTCATGGACGACCTCAAGTCCGGCGTCCCCCGGGCCGGCTACCGCGGCGTGGTCACCTTCCAGTTCCGCGGCCGCCGCGTCCACCTGGCGCCGCCGCAGACCTGGGCCGGCTACGACCCCAGCTGGAACTGAGCCGCCCGGCGCCGCCCGCACCTTCCCCCGCGTGGGGCCGGCTCAGGGCCACAGGGGACCTGTTTGTGGCCCAAATGAGACGAACCGGGGGGTGGGGGGTCTCCCCGTCAGGATGAGCGGGGTGGTTCGCCCCCCATCCTCTCTCCGGAGCGGGGCCTCGGAGCTCAGCTCCCCGCAGCCGGCGGCTGGTGCTTCTCAGAGCAGAGGGAAAGCAGCTGCTGCGCATGCTCAGCCCGGAGGGCGGGCCTCGGAATCCCTCCCCCCCTTCCCCGAGGCTCCGCCGGCTTCCGGCGGCTTCAGCCCGGGGTGGAGGAGCCGGGGCCGGGGCCGGGACCCGCCCGCCCGGCCTCCCCGGGCCGGTCGCCGACGGACGTGTGCGGGGCTCCTCGCCCGACCTGTTTCATGGAAGAGAGTGGAATCCACTGAATTATTTTCAAAAATAAAGTAAAGGCTGAATTGTCTGAAAGCCTGGGGAGCGTCTGCTGTGCGTTCTGGGACGGCGGGAGGCGCGGGCTGGAGGACCGCGAGCCGAGGCCGCCGCCCGGGCCTGGAGGAGGAAGCGCGGCGGGGGCCGCCGGGACCCCAATGGCCCATGCAGAGCGCCCCGCGCGTGTGGGATGCTTTGAGCTTCCCCGCAGAAGGGAGAGCCCCGTGGGGCTCAGGGGAGCGGCGCTCCGTGCCGCCTTCACCCCGGGAGGCGCGAGCGCCCCGCCGCCCGCGGGCACGCCGCCGCCCCGGGCCGCCCTCCCGGAGGCTGCGCAGCCGGACAGGCCGCGCCCAGGGCGGGTCTGCCTGGGCACTGCCGGTGCCGTGGGTGCCCCTGTTTCCGGTCTGGAGAGAGGTGTGCCCGTCAGGGGAGGCTGGCGGTCTTCCGGTCTTCCCTGTGGTCCTCGGGGCAGGCCCCGGTTCGCCCCTGCCTTAATTCCGTCACCCGGGGTGCAGCCGGCCGCCCGCTGGCCAGGGGTCAGGGGTCAGGGACGGTGAGGGCGGGGCCGCAGGCCACCAACAAGCTCCGGCCACGTCTGGGAACGAGGCCGCCGGGGTCACCCCCAGCCGGGAGGCCACCGGGGTCACCCCCAGCCGGGAGGCCGCTGGGGTCACCCCCCAGCCGGGAGGCCGCGCGGCGAGCCGCCATCTGCATCCCCTCCCCGCCGCCTGAGGTCTCCCAGCAGGCGGCTTCGCTTCCCTACAGTGTCACCGCGGACGGCGGTGGAGCGAAGGGGGCGACGGGCCTCGTTTGCTGGAAGGCCGAGCCGGCCCGGGCGGGCGGGCACGTGTGATCACCCCGCCGGCCTCACGGGAGAGGCGGTGGCCGGCGGCGGCCAGCGCCACCTGCTGGCCCGCGCGAGCCCTCTCGGGCCCTGCGGAGCGCGGGATATCCGGGGGCCACCGCCCAGTGCTAGGTGACCCGCCAGGCCCCGCCTGCATCGCTGAGTGACAGGTCGCAAAACAAGCAAGCGGTCATGCGGTCATGTTTGGCTGCTTGAGTCGCGGTAATTGGGTAGGTGTGGGCCGCAGGGCATGCTCCAGCAGGCGTGGGGGGGGAGGAAGGTTTAACCATGAACTCATCACCACCCCACGGGTGGGCAAAACTGGTTCTGTTATTTAGGGAGACGTTGTCTTTGAATTAAAGGAGGTATTTTATATTCCAAGTACTTCCCAAGTATTTTTTTTTAAGTGAGAGACTAGCACCAAGAAGCCCCATATTCCTCTTACTGAGATGTTACAACACTATTTTGCCATATGACACATAATCACACACACACACACTGTTTTTTCCTGTACCATCTGTTAGAAGATTGCTGAAAAATAACACTTTCAACACGCATGTAAATGATGCATGTATTGTGTAACGATCACAAAACGTAAACAAATAGGAAATGAAATTCAACTGTAACCTCACTGCCCAGATTCAGGTTTCTGATGGGGGTTTGGTCTTTATTAGGCAAGACTGCCCTCTACTGATGGCTGGGTGAATTGTTCCATACTGGGATTTCATTCACATAGTTTCTGGTGGTTTTATTGAATTGATTCCTCAGACTCCTTATGAATGGACTAAGCAAGCTGTGTTTCTGAAACTGCAAAAGAGAACCTGATGACCTTTTCCCAGGGGTTTGATCGGGGCGTTGGGTAGAGGATTACTATAACAGTCTGAGTTACCTGTCCTTGCCATATTGTTCCCTTGAGTTGGAGCCTGGCGTGATGGATGCCTATCTCTTGGCAAATTCCCACCCCGGCCTGCAGTTTACCAGTCTCCTTCCACAGCTGAATAGATTCTTTTCCTTCGCTCCATCCCTCTTGTTCCTTTCTCCTATGACAACCTGTCTCGTTTATGCCTCATACTTTCTAGAACCTCTGGTATAATGTACTTTCGATTTCTTTTTTCATTCCATCACCTTAGTCGTCATTGCAAATTAGTACATTCAAGTTCATATTAGTATAATAAAGCCTCTATAATATTTATAAAGTATATCTTTTCTTCCCCTCATAAAACCAAGGATAAATAAACAAAAGACCCTGACCATATCTCTCAGAAGCTATATGGTTTGGGAGGGTTGGGGCAGGACGTCACATTTTTCCAGCAACAAGTATTTCCACAGCACCAGCAAATCCCAATTAGGATCGTAGGGAGCTCACGCTGAATTAGTTTGGTGCCCGCTCCACTCAACCGTATGCACCTGGTGTTTGGCCTGAGTAAGTAATGGGAATTACAGGTAGTGAGTATTTGAGGAAGAATGAATCTGCCTCTAAGCAGGGGGAGGGTGCCCGTCTTCTCCTTACTTCCAGATCCTTCCTAGTGGCCTGATCAGGTGGACGGAGTGGAACTCCTGAGCAGGTGCAGATGCCAGCTGCGGACAGGGAGGTGCTGGGAGGGTGAGCAATATGGTGGCCTGAGAAAGGTAAAGAAGAAGGCCAGTCGGTGGCTTTCCCCTCCGTGTCGCTGGGGCCTCGCTGGGCTGCGGAACTGGGCTGCTGTTGCTTCTGTCTGTAAACAACTCTAATGGAGATGCTGCCTGAGTAAGGATAAGGAGTTTTTTGGTTCTGAAAGCATTTGCTGACCTCAGCTTCTGGTCACAGGCTCTGGCTGGTGATGCGCCTCACCGATGGACCAGTGCTGCCACCTGGTGGCCCGTATGAGAGTGACAAGCCTAACTTGGCTGGCTTGGGTTAAACCAGCAGCAGCAAACTTTGACAGCTACAGGAGTCAGTGTGGTGTCTTGTAGTCCAGGAATGATAATGGTAACTCCCACCCCAGGTTATTCGGAGGATGGATTGGGTCAGTAGATGCATCCATAGGCCACGGTCTGACACATAGTAAGCACTGTATACCTACGGTTCAGCTGCTATTTTCCCTTCAGAGATCCATTAACCTAAGAAGGCCCTCCCCATTCCCTTGGATTTTGTGGCCTCTTCCCACAATTGCAAATGGGAGACACACTAAGGGAAGGAAGGTTTTCAGTGTTTTAAAGATTTCTCTATAGGTTTGTATTTTTTGTAAGTTCTCTCTGAACCTGCCATTTTTGACTGTAATTATTTAAGGTGACATCTGTCTCTCTTAGACTGTGGACTTCCTTGGAGTCTGAGGCTCTATTGTCTGCACTTTGCTCAGGTTAGGAAAAGGCAGTGAATGAATACTGTGTTATAGCTGGGTGCCAGTTGGCTGACGCCTGTAATCCTAACTCTCAGGAGGCTGAGATCTGAGAATCACTGTTTGAAGCCAGCCTGGGCAGGAAAGTCTGTGAGACCCTTATGTTAACAAAAACTACTCAGAGAAAGCAGAAAGTGGCGTTGTGGCTCAAATGGTAGAGTGCTAGTCTTGAGCAGAAAGAGGCTCAGGGACGGCGCTCAGGCCCCAAGTTTAAGCCCCAGGACCAGAAAAAAAATACATATATTGTGTCATAGAAATGGTAATGCCCAGTGAATGACTATATATCATGCACCACATATTCAGTGTCATTGATCTACACAGTGACACACAATACTCACTTTGGCATCATCTTACTGATGGGGAGACAGAGGCTCAAGCATGCCTAGAAGCCTCTTTAAGGCCACAGAGCTATAGCAAAGCCATTTCCTCCATTCTATCTATGCCACTATGGATGGAGATCATTTTTAACCTTGATTTTTTTTCACGCGCAAACGTGTCCATTGCTCAATAAATAGCTGTGAAATGAACTTTATTATAGACAAAATCAAGGTATGGAAATAAGAATGTTGGCACATGGAGTATAGAATGTGACAGATATCAGATATGCAACTTCTCACCAAGGAAATAACTGGATTGATGGTACACAGAAGAGGGAATATGAGCATCCAATGAAGATCCAAGAGAAGGAAGACATTTGGGTTGGGGTGATGGTGAAGGCACCCAAGCAAGGCACAGAATTTGGTCCCACTGAAGTATTGGTAAGATGAGAATTTGATGCTCATTGAGAAATAGGAGGAATCTTTCCTGGCTGAGTTGCATGAGCCAGATGAAGAGCTGTGTACTAAGAATGCAGAACAAGATTGCGTTGGCTTGAGCAGAGCTTGGGGAATGGAGAACTGTGGACTTGGAGAGCCAGTCAGTTGATTCTAATTGCCACACTGGGGCCCTCAGGTCTCCAAGGTCACACTCGGGTAACAGCTCTTCCTTCCCTGTTATTAAAGAGGCCTTGGCACTGTCCCAAGGGCAGAGCTGGTGTGCTGAGCCTTAGGGTCAGGAGGTGGTTTGATAACAAACTAATTCCTGGCCAGAGTTGGTTAGGTGAGTGAGTGGAGGTGAAAGAGAGGAGGATACTCCATCCTCGTCCATGAAGGGCCTCCAAACTCTCCCCTACTGAGAAAGGAAGCCATAACTTCTCTGAACCATAGACCTGATCCAAGCCTTCCACCGCATAGATGGTTAGGACCACCGAGGAGCAAGTCTGTCACAGCCATCTCTAGACAGCACCAGTGTTAAATGGGTCTCATATTGCCTTGAAGTCAGTAGAACCGAGGGAGGGAAGGGCAGTCATATTGTTTCCTAGAACTCTGGGTAAGTACTGACTGAGGGCCTATTCTGGCTTCAAAGTCCCTTTCAGAACTCAGTTCCTACAATACCATAACTCTAATATGGCAAGTAAGGTATAGACATAGAGGCACAGAATACAGGGAGAGCTCGAGCTGTTGAAAACAATATCAAGAAGAATTTCTTGGGGGAATCCAATGAGGCAGACTCCTTTCTATCTGGAGATGATGCTCTGTTTTAACTCTGAGTGAAACAACATGTTAATTTAGTTTTGAATGTCAATTAAGCTGACTGCATCCTGGCTGTCTGTCCCTTCCTGTTTTTATACTAGAAAACGTTGATGTGTAATTGCTATTTATGAGAACAGTCTTGAAGATGTCCTTGGATACTTGTGGGCTAGCGTGGATGTTGTGTGGTGCAGTATGGGTGGAAGGTGCACCTGGTGCTGAGTTAGGTTCAGTAGTGACTTCAGTCCT